CTTCTAAATTGTCCAATATTGGATTTTGTTGTTCGAGAAAAGACGAAAACCACGATAATGCAGAACCAGAAAGTAGAGTGCCAATAAACCTGACTTGTGATCCTGGAGTTGGATAGCTTTGCGGTTGAAGTTCAATTGCCAATTGTACTTGATTGATGAACCCTCGAAACTTTGATCTTGTACCATCAAATTTCTCGGGTAAAAAAATTCTTGGTTCTCTAGTGCTTACAGGGTGTTGTACAATTGGAGAAGAAATGTGATTTGGTGCAGATGTTGAAGCAGCTCCGATCATCTCTATGTCTCCACTTTCTGCTATTCTTGTTCTTTCTTCTGTTGGTGAATTGAGTTGATGCATCGCAAGCATTAACTCCCTCAATTGTTCTTGCATTTGTGCCATTGCACTCTTTATTTCAACAAGCTCTGCCATAATGATACTAAGAAGAAAAATTTGTCTGATATTACTCAAGACAAAAGAAAAAGAAAAGACTTGATAACAAAGAAGATACTAAGAACAATATCAGTTTAGAAGTGGGTAATCCGCAAACTTCTAATACGCTTATGTCTTGTCAAGAGAAAGGAGTAATCCACTCTTACTCAAGAAAAACAAAGCTCTGATATTGTAAGTGCACTCTTCTCAATCTTTCAAGGAGAAGAACTCGATAAAAAAATAATTCAAACAAGTGAGCATTCACTCAAGAGAGGTAACAAAATATATATATATACAAGTATATATATTGAAAGAGAAACTGGAATGGCTATTGCCAAAAGACTAGAAAACTAGAGACCCTTGAAACTAGACTAGAAGCAAGAAAGGAGTTGACAAGAGTGAAGAAGCCTTCACTCTTGTCTCTATATATACTCTCTAACTAGGGGCTACGTGGCGACGTTCTATAGGACCTCCAATATGTGTTGACTTTGTAGGGTACATGCCTTGACTTACAAGGCAAGTTTTTCTACTTGTGGGCCACATAGTTAGTTTGATCTTCAAGCTAACAACATGTGTGGCACATGGCCAACTTGTTGACCACGTTTCTAATCCAAAAAGTCAATTAAAGACACCTATGAAGTCAAAGCAGCATCTAGGAAATTTCTAAGAAGCTTCTATATTAAATATTATAGAATTAACTTATTTTTACCTACTTTTACTTACTTCTATCTATTTCTATATGTAATTATTAGCTTACATGATTATGGCCGTGACACTAGAGCATTAGTGAGGCTAAAGGATAAAACTAGCCATTTGAAATATCCATAGCACATATAAAATATCATCTTTTTGGTATCCTCTCTTATAATAGGTATTTGCCAATAGCCACTTTAAAGATCCAATTTACTAAAGATGGTCGTATTTACTAAGTTGATCAAGAAGATTATCTACACATGAAAGTACATATGCATTTTTAATAGTCTACTTATTGAGGCCTTGATAGTTGATGCAAAGGCAAAGTCCACCATCTTTCTTGAGTGCAAAGAGTACATGTACTCTCTATGGTGATGTGCTTTCTTGAATGAAGCTTTTTTCTAAGAATTCGTCTAATGTCTTCCATAGTTCTTTAAGTTCTTTTGGTGTTAGGTGATAAATTAGTTGACTTGTTGGTTTTGTTGAGGCAATAATTCTATTTGAAATGAGACACCTCAATGACGAGGTACGCTATTAGGTAGGTTGGTTGGAAAGACATCTTGATATTTCCATATGAGTTCTTCTACTCGTTCTACTCCCTCAATTGACTTTTACACTACTAACGTAAGATTTGGAACCACCATATATATTCGTTGTTCATGTTTTATTTGCTTTTCCATGAAGTTTGTCCCTACGAGTAAGTCTTTAGTTGTAGATTGTCTTTCCTCTTTACTTAATATAGAGGTGTGAAGAGTCACTTTGCATCTTCTATCTTTAAAAGAGATTGTCCTTGCTACTCAATCAACTTACTTAATTCTCATCCCTAGCTATGGCATACCAAAAATAACATCATACTTTAGCTTAGTTATCTTGAATTTTTCTCTTAAGATGTAGGCATCTATCAATTTCAAGGTTTTTTCTTCACTTATCTCACTCAATACGTTCTCTTAGTCATTTATAAGATATATACTTTCTTCCTTGATTTTCTTAATTTTAATTCCAAATCAATCAGTAATTTCAGTTGAGATATAATTTTTTGTAGAGTCACAATCTATAAGTACTCGACATGGTTGTTTTCTTAGTAGTCTCGTCAGATATATGAGTTGAATATTTTTATAGTTATCTAAGGCCATGCCATTTGTCTCTAAGAGACAATACCTATTCCCAATACTCGCCATCAATACCTTTATTGGAGAGCATCATTTTCTTACTTTGACTAATTATTGACTTGGTAAATTTTGAGATTGTGAACCCACCTTTTCTTGTTGGTGCTTGAATTTTGGCATTTTGGACAACTTCCAATTTAATGGCCTGACTTTTGACAATAGAAACACAATCTCTTTTGTACCAATATTTGTCATCTTTGTGGTGTCAGTGATCCTTGTAGGGCATCAATTTCTATTGGTATTAGTTGTTGTGCCATAATATTAGATAGTGGCATAGGACTTCATACTATAGGTCATGCTCCACAATTTTTGAAATCTATAGCATCGATCCTTTTTGCAATCCGTATTACCTTTTAGAATGTTTATGGATTCCTTAGCTCCACCTCTAAAACATTGCTAATTTGAAAACATAGAGACTTGAATGGGGAGACATAATCTTGTACGGATCTAGCTTGTATAAGATTTACTAATTGATTCCGTACTACCTTTTCTATATTGATGGGCCAAAATTAATTCTTAAACTTGGTTTCAAACTCCTCCTAATCACAAAATCTACTTTGAGCTCCATAGCTTTGAACTTGATATCGCCACCAAATAACTGTCACATCTTTCAAATAGCTGACTACATATATAAATCTTTTAGTGATATTTGCCCTAGATAGTTTGAAGTATTGTTGTATGTTGAAGTGCCATTGACATACATCTTCTTGTCTTAAAGTCTTAGAGTATATACTAAGCTTATTCAATTTCAACATAGCAAATGTTGAGTCTTTTGTCCTTGAGGCTTTTATTTGTCCTTGTAAAGTAGCTATTTGGTCTAAGACGTGTTGTATTTGAGCCTCTATTTGAGATTGCTCCGCCATATCTTCCATACTATAATTTCTTTTTTAGACTCTAGTATTGTAATATTTTTTCACCTTCCAATTGACTTTTTAAGAGTATCTCGTGGTAGCTTCAACACAATACCCAGTATGGACTAGATAATGACTATTGACACACTACCAAAAGTAAACAATCTAATATTCATTTTGATACCAATGAAATAAGACTAGACTAACTCAAAAATCCAAGATCCTTCTAATCCATAGGAACATAAAGCTTTATCACAAAATAGGACAAAAAAAAAGAAAAACAAAAATAAATAGAAGTAAATAGAATAGGACATGAAAGATAAAACTGGACAAACAAAAACAAAACAAAATAGAACTGAACAGAAAGATGCAAAACCAAATTTTACTAAAAAAAAGGGTTTGAAGCCATACTTGACCAAATGCTCCAAAAGGCCTTGGCTAGTGTCAGGGACATGAATCTCAAAGAAAGAAAATCCTCGATACACGCTTGTGTCATTGAAGAGAACTAAAAAATCACTCAAAAGATAATGTAATATTAACTAAAATGGTTATTGTCAAAAATAAGAAAACTAGAAAGTCTTGAAATAAGTCCAAGGACTAAAACGACATTGACAAGAGTGAAGAAGTCTTTACTCCTGTCTCCATATATACTCTTAACTAGGAGCTACATGACAATATCCTATAGGACCTCCAAAACATATTGACTTTGCTAGCCACATGTCTTAACTTGTAAGGCAAGTTATCTATGTATGCGCCACATGGTTAGCTTGTTCCACAAGCTATTATGTGGAGTTGACTTGTTCCACAAGCTATTATGTGGAGTTAACTTGTTCCACAAGCTATTATGTAGAGTTAACTTGTTCCACAAGCTACCAACATGAGGTTAACTTGTTGGCTAAGTTTTTGCCCTATAAACATATCTAAAGTCAAAATCGCATCTATATAGCTTTTAGGAAGCTTCACTAAAAGACTTTATGAAATTAATCTATATTTACATACTTCTATCTAATCATATAAATAATTATTGAAGTAAATGTATATGTCCATGACAACCAGTCCTATTTATACCTTATCCTATCACCTTAGACTTTCTAGAATGTTCCTAAATAGTGGGATCCACCTAGATAACCACCATAAAATCTTTTTAGAATATTCTATAATAGATTCTACTTGGTCCACTAACCTAACTTCAATTCTAAAAATTTCCATGGTTCTAATTATTTATATAATTATCTTATTTATACCTTGTTACAATATTGCCACAATTTACTAAGAGTAGCATTGCAAGGTCACTAAGCATAGAGCTTGAAAGCACTACATATAACATAGAATTTTACATCATATGAAACTTAAAACAACAAGTTAATTTACAACATATAATTTATAATATCTTTTTATAGGTAACAACACATGTTTCTACTATTATCTAATAATAGTAATTCTTCCCAACTGCCCTACCAAAACTATTTCCAACATCAACCACCAACTATTTATTTAACACAAATGCTGCCAATTTTATAAAGTATGGAAAATGGATTATTAATTTCATCTTCAAAATTATTTCAAAAAACTATTAGCATGATAATTTTAGTTCAGTACTTAAATACATATGCACACAAAAGAGTAAAGGAATGAAAAAGTGATAACATAGTTAGGTGTAAGACTACCCAAGTTTCATATTCAACAACCGTTAAGGGAACTGAAACTGTTAAGGGACTTTAGATTTTCATCGTCAGAACAGTCATCGACAGTGGGCACTGCAAGCATGTTCCAGACTGGAATCCTGGGGAAGAAAAGGAGGCTCGCATGAGGGGGACTGGCAGCATGTTCTGAACTGATTTGTGGGGGAAGACAAAGAGCTCGGCGGACACGATACAGGACTGTACAGTGAGTGCACGGACGGTGATTCCGAGTGGAACTGGTCTCCGCCTTCGGAGTCAGAGGATCTGCTTGGAAGTTCGCACCCCCGCTCGGAGAAACACTGTTATGTTTTATCCTCACAAAGCAGTTCCCCTCGTATTTGCTCCGAGATTTCACTGCACAGATCCGTGAGCCTCGTGACAGATAACTCGGCGACCTCATCACGCACCACAGGCTTGCTGTCTAACAATTTGTGGCTCCATATTTTGTTTGTTTGTTTGTTTTTTCTTTTTTTGTGTGTGTGTGTGGCTTCATTGTGTAGTGCTGCTGTGCTAGGGTTAAGCTTGCTGCCCTTGTTGCTATGCGACGTTCCAGTCCCGGTCGAGATCCACACCGTTCCTTTAGTCATTTTAGATTCGTGTGAAATGAGCGCTTAATTCGCTTCTGTTGTTAACGTAAGTTTTGTCGATGGATGTTTAAGGACATCTGGGATGCTGACAGGCGTTTTTTTTCATATTTATTCGTTTTCTTGCGTTTTGAGCTGGAGGCAGAGCCTGTGTGTTTCATTTGGCGAGGGTCTCTGAGGTGGTGAGTTAAATTTATGAAGGTTTCGTGGTTTTTGATGGTAGTGTTTTTTCTAGGTGCTTCAGAGTGAGACAGCTTTATTTGTTAGTCGGGTTGCTAACAAGTTTAGAAGATGGCGCACAAGGCGGATGACGAGTACGACTATCTGTTCAAGGTGGTGTTGATTGGAGATTCTGGTGTCGGGAAGTCCAATCTACTATCCAGATTTACGCGTAATGAGTTCTGTCTGGAGTCCAAGTCGACCATTGGTGTGGAGTTTGCTACTAGATCTATTCAGGTATCATCAACCTGCCCCTAAATGCAATGTATTCACTGCGGAGCTTGCTTTCGCTGTCTTTCTCATTGTTAACTGTGTTTGAAAACGAACGACTTGTTTTGAACAGATGACCTTGTATGTGATGGAACGGAGTGTACTGGAAGAAGTAAATTCATTAGCAAATGAAACATATGGCACTGTGCGGTCTAGTTTAGAGGTCGAGATCAATCCAATCTTTTTCTTATTTTTCTGTTTCTTTTTTGATTGAATGAGTTTTCGATACAGTATTCTGTGGTTCGTTTTGATCCTTTTCCGCTAGGTCTGCAGAATTACTTACAAGATTAATTGCTGCTTGTTCTTCGTATACGTTTTACAGATGTTTCGGTTTACCATGTGGTTGCAAGTCTTTTTTTTACATGCTGCATGTTTCTTGCCTGAACTGAGCCACTGGTGGTTTAGATTGTCGACTGTTTCTGTACATTTCTTGGCGATTGATTGGTGATTAGTCTGTACCAGTTACATGTCATGGATCGATAGTGATTGTCCACTCACAAGGTTAAAAGTTGTCTCATAGTAGGGGTTGCAAATAAGTTTTCTTTCTTAGAACTTCAGTTTCCTCTATTATGGATTAAGCTTTCACGAATACTTTCAATTCTAAGCTCGCACCTGCTTGATATTCTTGCAGGATATGTAATTATGCCTATTGCTTAAAAGCGATTAAAAAGTCTTATGATTAATGACACATGGTCTCATTGGAGTTAAGTAACCGCCAGAGTGTATTTTATAATGTGTTTGATACATAAAAGCTTTCCATGGTTTTTACGCACTCTTAAAAATTAACCCTTTTTTCATTTCTTTTCTTTTCCTCCCCTTTTTCTTGGTGAAATGTCGTGATTGTCAATCTGGGAATCCAGCGCGGGAGCATTTCATGGAAGTTCGATGTCCGGACATCATGTGCTATAGATTTTGTTGCTTAGGTAGTCATCCGATTTTTTCATCTCAACCTTGATTTGGATGATCCATCATTGCCTCTTTTGCATGTGTTAAGGCTTTTTGCTGATGTTTAAGTTTGCTGTATTATATCAGGTTGATGGAAAGACGATTAAAGCTCAGATTTGGGACACAGCAGGACAGGAGAGGTACCGAGCCATTACAAGTGCGTACTATCGTGGAGCCGTCGGAGCTTTGCTGGTGTACGACATTACAAAGCATGTGACCTATGAGAATGTTGAAAGGTGGCTGAAGGAGCTCAGAGACCATGCCGACTCCAACATTGTTATCATGTTGGTGGGAAACAAATCAGATCTTAAGCATCTGAGAGGTGTCCCCACCGATGATGCCCAAGCTTTTTCAGAGAAAGAGGGACTTTCTTTCATAGAAACCTCAGCTTTGGAGTCCACAAACGTAGAGAAAGCATTTCAGAGGATTTTGACAGAGATTTATCGTATTGTGAGCAAGAAAGCTTTGGCTTCTGAAGAGAGCACCACTGAGGGTCCAGGCCAAGGAACTAATATTGTCCCGCTAGACAGCAACTCCCCGGATCTTAAGAAGAAGGGCTGCTGCGGAGCTTAAAAATCTCTATAGCTGGTGGTTTCGTTCACCAACGCCGTCTCATGGCTTGTCTCAATTATGTAAATCACTCTTTGATGTAATGAGGTTCTTACGTAAAAACAAACTGTAGCTTACGGAACTAGAATTTTTTTATACCTTGGGTAGACTACAATGGATAACTTCTCGCCAGTTAATTGTATAAGATGCTGTGAGCAGTTGTCGTTGGACAAGTTGTAATCTGCCGTTGTATTGATTTAGCGGTCTTTGTTACTGGTTTGATCAGAACAAACTGAGGTGCAGTTTTGAGAGGCCATGTTAGTCTTGAAGTTTACCACGGCCTCGGTCCAGACATCAGGATTAATATTGTTTAGATTAATCAAATTTGTATGCTAGGACAGATTCCTGTCTAGATAATTGTTAATGGAAATGTTAATTTGTTGTTTTCAGCATGTTAATTTCAGAGTGATTAATTTTGTGCTCGTTTCAAACTTGTTCTCTTTTGGTTATGCTACATGCGTTTAGGATTTGTACTGAGGAATTGTGAGCTGTGAGTATGGGAACAGCATTTTTCCTTTTAATCTGTGCTGCTCGTTTCCGAGGAACAGGAAATTTGCAAGGTTGCTGTGTGTTGATTGCCGAGAGTTGCTTGATTTATGGGCTTGAGAACCTCGATGTATCGAGGTCAGCGTGTGGTGTAAAACGTGGTGCCAATTTAAGAAATGTGGATGGAGGTTACTGCCCGAAGTGTTCTTAAAATTCAAGTCCCCCGTATGTCTTTTTTCTTCTTCTCATTCCTCCTTAATCTAGAATTTCCAGTACAACTCAATTTTAGTTTTTTTAATTTTCTGTTCAGAATTTTTTGCTATTAGTCTTCTTCTAACAACAACGCTGGTGCTGTGGTTGTTTTTGTAGTTCATATGCATCATGCCAGGACTTGTGCTGGAAAGAGCATACCTACCTTACCTGATCTTGAACATAGTAGATGTATGACAGCAAAAGATAACCATGGTTCTCTGCAGATGATCTTTCTGTACTTAAGAAGTCCTGCAGGATTCAAATTTCCCTAAAGATATTAATATTTTGGGTTGAGTACAAGTTACTTGACAAGGTGACAAAAAATAAATAAAAAATTGCTGCAAGTATATGTCCTGTGTACAAGTGTGGGGATTACCATTCCAAAATGGTTTCCTAAATAGTTAACTAGATAGGAATATTTCAACCAACACACTGTTAAGGAAGAAAGTCCATGGCCTTTTATCATCCATCTTCCTGCCTTTACAATTAATTTCTTAACTGTTACATATGATCCCTAAACATATCCTCCCACTCTCTCTACAAATAAATACCTATCTATTTCCCCTAGTTATATGCTTAAAGGAGCTTTGCATGAGGATTTGGGAGGGCTTGTCCTGAGGCTCACAGTAATCCAGTATGGGTTGTGGTCATGGCTGCCAAAATCTCTAGATAACTCCCCAATTGCTTGAAAAGATTTTCACTGATGCAAAACAATGTGTGAGATGAGAGTGGACCATGTACTCAGGTAAGTTAGGGTTAGGATTACCTGCATGGCCATGGTGTGACCCTGCTTGCAGAATCTCCATAGGAGATTGCTTTTGTCAGTCCCAGGTGCAGCTAGAGAAGACAAGCACTCTTTTGTACATTTGCTTGTCTTGCTTTCATTTTTGTAATGTATCTGTCATCTGGGTGCACCACAGTCCATGATAGATGACATTCAGTGTCCAGGATTATGGATCTTTAGAGGTGGACATTACTCAACACAGGATGCTGCCCCATGAGACCCAGTATGTGAACCAATTTTAGCTGCTTTTTTTAGGTCTTTAAGGGGTAGGTGCACAACATGGATCTGGAAAGAGCCTTAGTGGTAAGTGCACAGTATTAGCATGGCTGACTCATAGATTTGAATAGAAAAAAATCACTAAGTCCATGAGTCAGCCATGCAAGTACTGTGAAACAGATTGAAATTTAGGTCTGGGTTGTGATCCCATTTTGTACTGTTACATATCTATATATATATATATGTATATAAATTGTCAACAAATGATGTGGATTTATCTTCAATAATGGGACTACATGATGCTGGCTCTCCCCTTGCTCCTTGTTTTGCTTTTCTGTCATGTGAAGAGATGGCCATAACAAATCCACAGAATCTGATGGAGGAGACATTTTTTGTCCTTTCCATTGCCTCAGATAAATGGACACGTTCCATTTCTTTCTGCGCCAATTATCAAGTGGTATCATGGCAGACAATGAGTTCACATGGTGCTGACAGTAAATTCTCCTCATTCTACCCAAGATAAATAATTGTTATAATTATAATCAATGAAAAACAGAATTGGTATTGGTTCTCTGCGAAAGCAGTGGTGGTGGTTTTGGCTGTGTGGAGTATAAATCTTGCCATTGATATATTGGATTTGCTGCATCATGGCTTCTGCACTGTATCATTCATTCTTATCCAATTTGATAATTTTGGGGCGTGCACATGCAGGAAGACAACCATTGGCTGATGAGAACATTTTTTATGGAGTTTGATTTATGCATATAAATATATTTTTTCAGTTTTTGAAATTATGGCTTTTTTGTTTGTTTGTTTGAATAGAAAATTATAGTCACTAATATATATATATGGGAATATTAAATAGACCCACACTTTTATTAAATTGACCCACCCATCATGAAAATAAAAATGACCTTTAGATTCATTTCTCCACTATTAGATTTGCAACCAATGAAAATCAACCACATTCATCATGATTACCATATACTTGATCATGGGTGGATCAATTTAGTAAAAGCTTGGGTCTATTTAACATTCATATAAATATATATATATATATACATATATATATTATTATTTTTAAATTATTTTAATAGACTATTTTAGAAAATAATAGAATGTAATGTAGTTAAATCTTTATTGGACAACACTATTAGTCCATTGTATTATAAAACCAATAATATTTTTGGTTTAAAAATATTTTTGACCATAACATGGGATAATTTTATATACAATATTTATTATTTTTATTACTTTTATTGCAAAAAAACTACTATATCTTCTTGTGTAGTATCCAAAGTTAATTAATGAAGTAAAAGTATTCTAGTTCTTTAAAAACTATATATTTATATAGATTTATTTTATTTTATTTTATTTTTTTAGTTTTTCAGTTTCAAATAAAAATACAATAACAAAAATACTCAATGATGTTATTTTATATGGATACAATTTATAATGTTTTAAATATTTTAATAATACAATAATAAAAGAAAAAAATATATTTTTTTTAAAGATAAAAAAATGTGTAATTTTGTCAAAATATCAAATATAGAAATAAAAAATTCTTCATAATAAGTAAAATTTTTAAGCATATTTACATAAGTGTATTTATGTGTTATGATGTAGGAGAATCTAAAACACTTATACCAAATTATAAAATCGTTTAGAACTTATAAGACTAATAAGACTATACAGAAGATATTAATGAATAATCTTTATTTTTATGAAAATATATTTATAAAACATTTTGTTTGAAACACTATGAAAATGAAAAAATTGTGGTTTAAGTTTTAGTAATAACAAGTTATTTTAAAGAATGTTTTTATATCATAGAGATTTGTAGTTGTCATAATATGCTATTGTAGATATTACAGATATATATATATATATATATATATATATATTATACCTACTTCATATTAAAATATTCATATAAATATTAAAAAATATGAACTTGTACCTTCAATGCTGCTATCTTGTGGTTAATTGACAAATCTAATGGTTGAATTTGACAACTCTATCTCATTGTCCCAATCTTTACAACTAATGCATATCATACCTAATGTTTCCTCTTATTATTGAAATAAGAGTAATGCCCAACTTGATACCTTGTGACAACAAACATCTGAATTAGCAAAATCCTTTGTGGATAATTTATTTGCAATTCCAATCTATAGATAATTTTGTTCAAACCTTTAAAAGTAACTATGATATAAGTAATCAACTATGAAAGAATATGCAATCAATTGAGATTAAAGTGTATCCTTTAAACATAACCATTCTAAAAAATTTACATCTTTCTTATACAAATACATTCTTACCAGATTTAGTTGTCCATTTCACATAACAAGTGATTTTTTCATATGCATCAATCAATTAAACCATGCCACATAAAAATAATATTATGCCCATATTGATATTTTTGCACTTTAGCAATATTTCCTTTTCTTTTTGCTTATATATACATACATATCCATATATATAGTCGTTTTAAAATTTGATGATTCTCACCATTCAAAATACACTTGAAGAATAAAGTGTCGTTTGGTGTTTGGGAGAGAGGATAAGCCTGTGAAACCACAACCAACCACTACAAGAACAGACACACACACAGAGACATGCACAGAAACAGACCCACAAGCTGCTTCCGTAAGGAGTAAGCAAGCAAGTAAGCAAGCAAGCAGGATGTGGTGATGGTGGTGCTGTCCAGCATCGTCCCTTGCTCACCTCCATCCTCCCACCCCCAACTCCCAAGCACCAATGCTGACAACCATGACAACAACTACTACAGCAACAGCAACAAAACACACAGTACAAAAGCAAAAAAGCAGGGGAGAAAAGAGAAAAAAAAAAGAGGAGGAAGGGGGGCTATGGTGATGGTGGGTGAGGACGCAGGCACATCCCCTTCTGCAGCTGCTGCGCTTCTACTGCTTCTGCTTCTGCTTTGTGTGCGAAACTGATGATGATGAGTGATGATGATGACTCCTGCTGCTTGTTGCGACGTGCTGCTGCTTCTGGACCTGGAAGAAAGCGTCTCACTATGTGCTCCCTTCCTCTTCTTCCTCGTTTCCGTGTTCTTGCCTCATGTCTTTGTTCCTTTTTTGTCCGTGAAGCGTTGCGGATTTCCACTGCAAGGTGGTGACTTGAGGGTCTGATGCTGTCGTCCAGTCTCCCCCTACCAAGGTCCTTGCCAGCTTCAAGGGAAAAGAGAGGGTGGTGATGGTGGTGGTGGTGGGGGAGGGGGGAATAAGAGAAAAGAAGAAAAAGGAGAGTAAATAGAGAGAGAGGAAGAAAAAGGAGGTGGGGAGGATGGAATGAATGTCTCCTTTTTTGTTTGGTCGAGTTAAATGAAACCTCAGCGCTGCCTTAAAGCTCGACACGTCCCTTTGATTGATTGCTGCTGCTGCTTTTCTGCTACCGCTGCTTTTTGTGCTTTTGATATTTTCTTCTTTTTGCTTGATTCCTTACCTGGGTTCTACACCGTTTGCAGTGAGTGAATTGGCACTTGCTTCTGGACTCCTGTGCATTCGTGGTATGCATTCACGGACATTGCTACTGCTACAACAGGAGATGGATTCACGGTTGTAACTTTCTTTTAGTAAAACGAAAAAAAAGAAAAAAAAATCCGAAAAATAGAATAAATTTTGTAGTATAAGAAAAAGAATGCATGTGCGTGTCGGATCGTTTAAAGATTTTCAGCACCCTGATGGTTCGTTGTTTGTTATTGTTTGTTGAGCATTCGAGCAGTGAAGATCCACCAATATGGGTTGTGTTTGGAAACTAATCATCGAAAAGTAAGAATGGATTCGAAGGGTACGTGAGTGAGAAGAGTGAGTGTAAAAAAGTAAGTTTCGGGGATGGGCAGGAGGGGTGGGTAACGGTTTTCGGGAATATCTACAGTTTCGTTTATCGTCACACGTGGGGAAGTCGGCGAAGAAATTCCGCCAGGCTCGCACTCTCTCGCTTACAGAATCATGGCAGCCACAGATTTGCGTTTCAATCGAGTTTAGAGCCTGCTTGGAGATTAATTGTCAGGGCCCCACAAGGATTGATGGCCTCGCACGGACATCTGCGTTCTCTGAATATGCCTGAATTGTCTGAGTTGCACATGATTTGAGAATTCAATACCACCGCAGGGACATGATCACCAACTTCATGACCAAATCCTCACTTTCGCCAACTCACTGAGAGGCTCATCAAATCTCTGCTCCTTGGCTGATCTAGGCCGAATTTCGCGGCGTCCTAGCTTTTAAGCTTTTAACGAGGGTCTAGTGGTTTCCGAAATAGCAAGCTCTGCAAGTTCTTTGAGAGTTGTCACGTTCCCTCTCTCGAAAGGTATGCACAACGTAGTAGCTCTGCTTAAGGATTCCTTCCAATCCATCTTTTCGGTGCCCTAAGATTCTCGGCGGCTAATTTCCACGTGTACAACCTCCGTTTCGCTTTGTATCACGTGTGATCCCTTCTGCTTATTCCTCTTGTAGCGCTGCTGCAATTTTGGTTATACTGGCGATGTCAGAGATCTGATTGGTGTCAGTTTGTCATGTTGATTTTTGGGGACCTTGGCCAGGATGCACAAGCTGTGGCCGGACTAAGTAAACTGGCAACGGTCGGCTGATGCTGCGAGAGGTTGCGACGGTTGTGACATTTGGGGGTGTGTTTTTCTGCTGTGCATGTAAGGGGATCTGTTGATTGTGTGTATGTGTGTGTGTGTGTCTGTGTGAGAGAGAAAGAGGTGAAGCAGGAGGTGGGCTGGTTTAACGACGGCGCAGTACATGGGGTCCCAGTAGCAGCTCGAGGCTGTTGACAGGTGCATTAAATTGCGGGATTCCTTCTTTAGGGTGACGTTCTCAATGGTAGCGACGGCAGCGACGTCGGCCAGCTGATGGTGCGTGTCTTCCGTGGTTGATCCATCATTCTCTGTGCGTGATTACTATGCCTTCGCTGCGTACTAGTCCAGGTCCTGCAATAGTACGTTTTTCGACCTGTTCGATCCGGGAGTATCACTGAATTGGCTCTGAGACCTGATACATAGAAGTTTTAGATTCAACCGACAGTCTGCAAAGGATTCTTATCGCTTAGTGGGCTTCTTCATGCCCTCTTTCGGATACATGTTGTCTTCTTAGTTACTCAAGTGTCGCCCCGCGTGGAGAGGTTTAATGCCTTTGCATCGAACGGGTTGATTAGCCAGTTGCACCTTTCTCCGAGAGAGTGAGTGTCAGATTCTTGGTTAATCTGCTTCAGAGTTTGTGCCTCACTGATATTTCAAGTAGGTGTCCCTTCTTCAGTGTAGTCTTTGAATTCATCATATCTTCAAGGGAATGAGAATCTAATAGAAGAAGCTCAGTTCACTGCAAGCTATTTAGGAGAAATACTCTGGTACTACCCCGCGTTTATAGAAAATGAATTGGCTTGTTACGTCAGAGAGCAATCAGCTGCCGCTTAGAATGGTTAGGCGACGTTGTAATCGAGGATTTTTCTTGTGGTATTGACCAAGTGATGGGCTTATAAAACTGCTATCGCAGACAAGAGGTCGTGAAAAGTTGATCAATTTACAGGTTGCGCAAGGGTTGCTAAAGTCTTGTCCTTGTTAAGGCGCTTAAAGTCGTAAATAACTGGAGAGTTGGAAATTAAACCCTTAGGTATATAGGGAAGACATGTACATATCTGTTCTAGTACTGGAGGCATTAAACTTGTTGACAGTGCAAACGTCCTCATCGATTCCCCCTTGTCAACCGACGTATATTCGTTACCTTCATTGAATGAATGAATATATATATATATATATATATATATATGAGAACGAATGAATGAGGAAACAGCCAAATTCCTTTCAATACGGACACAACCCCTGCATCATTCCCAATACTGAAGTAAGATTTTGGTCCTGCCCAAAGCAAAGGAGTGATTACCTTCTCATGGGTGTTATTGCTTCTTCAAAAGTTTTCGCGATTGGTGAGAGCAAGAGAGGGAGCGGGACAGAGCGAGAGTGAACACTCTTATGGCGAGTCATGCACCTCCTTAGTCTTAGTGTTCAGGAGGATGTCAAGCGTAACTATTCTACACGTTATTCTCAGTTTCCTGTTTTAATTTTTCACGCAACGGGGTGATTGGTACCTTCGAAGTTCAGGAACGCCCTCTTGAATAAAATTCTGAAACTCGCACAAGCTACTGTCTGTCTGCAAGTATGGACAGCAACGAGGGGGGTGCACCGACTGGGTCGCAGGACGCAATGCCTGTGTTATCCTCCCCAATTATGCAGCGGTTTAGTTTTGAGAATGGGCATCACGCGCAAAGGATGGCCGCTGTTTGTCCTTCTGTATCGAGCAAGGGATTCATGACTAATTTTGCAACGCCAGTCTACATAGCACTCCTTGCAGTAATGCTGGTGCTGCCATCTCCAGCTGCGGATTGGATTAGCAAGGTCCATGAATTTCCTCTTATAAAGCAGATGAATGGATCAAGTAATGACTATTTCACTAACTCTAGGGAATCAATGATGTGCTTTCCACATCCCGAGAGCCCGCGTCTATCTTCCTATGCAAGTGACCATTTACAGCTTTGTTCCGGGAATGGCCATTATGAAATAGCCAGCCACCAGGAGCGAACTACACCAGACGCTGGAGCTTGTCATTGCTACGGATGCTTCTCGGGAAAGCATTGTGAACATCTCAATTCTGATTGCGACCTCAACATATTCCAGTATGCAAACTCTTGCCCTATTTCATTCTACACGATTCATATCACTGAATATTCTTCGTTTGTGTGTGCCGCCGTTGAAAGCAGTTCACCTGATTGACTTGTGTCGATGGATGTGTGGGAATTAACAGTGGCGACCCGACTCTGTTCGAGGAGTACTGGCTCACCCAACCTGACGCACCCACCATCATTCCATCATGGCAGGGCCTTAGCTACTTTGCCCACCGCCACAACTCCTACTTGTTCGTTGATTCCTTCTTGGAACAAACAATCCGACAGCTGCACGGCATGATTGGAAACGCAGTAACTGAAGGCCGCTTCCTCGTGCTCGGCGTTGGCTCCACGCAGCTCTACCAAGCAGCTCTGTACGCCTTAACATCACCCGACTCCCCAACTCCCACCAGCGTCGTGTCTGCAATCCCTCACTACTCGGTACACACAACCCAATAGCCTCATCTTAGCACAGATGAATCTTCTTCCCAATTTTGTGTGTGTGGGCAACACTCGAACGTCATCTGAGGTCGTTGTGCGAATTGTGCAGTCTTTTGAGGGAGTGACGAGGTTTCTAGACTCAAGAAGGTTCAAGTGGATCGGAGACGCAGAGAAGTTCCGGGACAGTGGGACTTCAGAACCCTATATCGAGCTTGTAACGTCGCCCAACAATCCTTGTGGATCTATGAACAAAGCAGTTGTAAATGGCAATGGATCTGTGATAAACGACCTTGCTTACTACTGGCCTCACTACACACCTATCACGGCCCCAGCTGACTATCCCATCATGCTTTGGACCTTGTCTAAAATCACTGGCCACGCCGGCACTCGCCTTGGGTACTAATCTCTTCCTTCTACGCTACCGTCATCACCTGTCTCCACTGCGCCGCGGTAGCTAACTGTTTGCAGCTGTGTCGGTGTTTTACTTATTTATTTAGTTTTATCACTGATGTGCTTGAGGGTGGTGGAACTGCAGTTGGGCTATTGTGGAGGATGAGAAGATAGCGACAAAGATGGCTTTCTTCGTCCAGATGAACACGCTGGGGGTGTCACAGGACGCACAGGCGCGAGGCGTCACTTTATTAAGATCAATCACGTCTAGTTACAACACGCGGCCAGAGAGACAACCTTTCTTCCACCTTAGTCAGGCAGTACTGGAAGATAGGTGGGCCAGGATGAGCCAAGCGCTACAAAACAGTTCTCGTTTTGTTCTGCCAGAGTTCGAGCCTGCTTCCTGCTCATTTTTCGGCCGAGCATTCCAACCCAATCCACGTACTCTACCATCCCCTAGCTCGTGCACTTTGCTTCATTGCGTTTAGACAGCCATCAATTCTGTCTTTCATATATATATATGTATGTTTATTTATATCCTAATCCTAACTATCTGGGTGTCTTTTCCAGCTTTCATGTGGCTGAAGTGCAAAGTAGACGAGGACTGCGCCCAGCTGCTAAAGGACCACAAGATCATTTCACGCGGGGGCCGTGCCTTCGGCGTGTCCACGCAGTACGTGCGAGTAAGCATGCTAGACAGGCGGCCCCTGTTCGATCTGCTGCTCTCACGCCTCGCTGCCCTCCACTAGACTTGCATCCAATGTACACAGATTTCAGTTCCCATCTCAAGCTAGAGATTAGGCCTTTCTGCACAGTTGTTGTTATTATATTTTGTTTTATTTTTGATTTCCACCATGCTTCCCCAGCATGTAGCACTCCACCTCCCCCACCTGCTGTGTGTTTCTTCCTCCTCGGTGCCTGAATCCACCATTTGTGACACCATAAACCGGATCAAATCCTCCATATTTCTAGCATGTTCTTCCGTTTGTTGAATCTCCATCTCCACCCTCTCTCTCGTTCATCTCCATGATCTGATCAAATTTGACTTTCTACACCATTCCATCATTGATTCGCTTAGCTACACCTGTAAACAGAATATAGTTGCCACGTCAGCATCGATGCATACCAACACACTGTCCTCTATTCTAAATTTTACACGATTCTCGCTCTTTAGGTTCCGTGTTTTCTATCCTTCTTTCCCTTCTCTTGAATAATCCTGCTTTTCAATTGATATGAATTAAGGTTTGAATGTTTTGGAAATCGGAAATGAGATTGAGTTGCTTTGTTAAACACGCTACTATGTGTTTGTTATTTGGTTTTATTGTCATGTCTGTCATGCAATTACTCTATTCATTAAGAGTAATCTTTCTATAAAATTTTGATTTACCATTGAGTTTTCATTGTTCTACAAGGATCCAAAAATTTCTTGCCAAAACACATACAAAGTGCGAAACTAAATACATAGCAACAGATTCGTGATAAATAATCATCTGATTGATACAGCTAATAATGCACTGATAAAGCTCATCAAGTAATTATTGATTGCGTTTATGACGTTGACATGCAGTGATAGTATGAATGATTTTGTTATTCATACAGAGCAAACTAAAGGTACTTGCACAATTCATTAGTTAAGAATAAAAAGTATTTAAAAGTTAATATTCGTACAAATAAGATATCTTTCATACAAATATCAAATCAAAACAATCATGGAATAATTTAGAATTTGGTGTTACTCCAAAACCTCAAAATTATATATTCTGGAAAGACACCAATAAATTATATCAAATATGATAAACGTTGTAGATGATGTGTTAATTTCATCAAAATAAAACGAGATGTCAATCCTCAATGATGACGACCAAAATCATTTCATCTGTATATATATATATATATATATATATACATATACATTAATAATAACGCACTATTACATAACATTATACTCTTTATAGCTACTCTACAACTGCATTCACTTTGAAATATACACACACACATATCACAATCAATATACCCAAGTCACACTCAACCAATTCTAAATACAGCAACAAATGGAGTACTAAAAAACTGTGAAGGTCAGGAACAACAACACTAATGTGGCCCCTAATTGATATTTTAAAGAGAAGATCCCTTGTAACACTATTCTCTATCCCTTGCAGTAAAATCTCCTTCATACCTGACGGAAACCTACGACTAAAGTGGTTAACCCCCTTGATGTTTCAAAAAAAAAAAGAAAAAAAAGAAAAAGAAAAAGAAAAAAGCCACTCAAATCAACATGTCCTAGTTCCCATCACAATAAAAAAGCGCTGACCACCCAAATGATGAGATGCAAAGAATATGCGACACAAAGCCAAAAAGCCTACACAGGTACTCATGGATGAACGCTTTCCAACGATGAACGGAGCACCCACACAAGTTTTCGTTAACGTGTCTACCTTTAACATCCATCTTTTATGTTTTGCTTTAAAGGCACGCGTCGTTCCTTCGTATTAAAGCTTGCAGAGAGAATCCAGTGATTGCATGCTCTTGCACTGCGCCTCGCTCGCGGCGTCCACAATTGTCTAGATCTCGTTTAATCTCGGCGTTTTTGCGGCGTCGCTCGTTGATCGCATCCATGGCCATCGGCATACGCACCATCGGAGTCGTGTTACTAGCCCTTTTGGGCGTGGATATCATGGTACCCACCTCGTTGAAATGAATCTGAGACTGTCTGCCGCTGATCTGCACTGCACTTCACTAGATTTCGTATTTTGTTTCTCAACAGGAGTTGCCAGTTTATGGTTGTGCTATGTCGATGCGTGTGCATGTTCTGAGATTTGACGATGATGGACTGCAGCTGGAGAACCCCCCCCTGGGGCTGGTTGCCGCGGTTAGACCCATTACAACAGTGGACCGGAGCTTGTTTCCTGATCGAGACCATGGCATTCACACCATCAACGACTTCCAGCGGAATTTTTTCCTGGAAGCGAGTCTGGTTCGAGGATCGACGGGGAGCTTCGTGACCCAGTTGCCCGGAGGGCGTTCTTGACTGCTGCAGCTGCCGATGATGTGCCTGAAATCAACACGTCTAACTTGCCTGTGCTGTTGGAGATGTTCGGCGTTCTGCCTAGCACTCAGCTGGCCACTGATATGGGCACCACCGCGTTCCTTTGCGGCAGTCCGGCACTGCCGGGAGAGTCCCGGTCTTGTCCCATTTCTAGAATAGCTGTGGCGCAGTTCGTCTCGGAGCAGTTGAAGGTGAACGTGGTGGAGGTGCTGGCAACCAGGATTGGCACAGTTGCCGATGCAGTGCCGTTGGATCACGAGCCTATTTATACAATTGTCGACTTCGCAGTCGGTTCAGAGGAGCAGGGCAAAAGAATCATCATCTGCCACAACGTGAATTTTGCCTCCCAGGTATACTACTGCCACAGCGTCACGAAAACAAAGGTTGTGCTTGCGACGTTGCGTCTGAAAGCAAACGGATCCACCATCAAGGCCTCCGCGGTTTGCCAAATTGACACAATGCTGTGGGATTCCTCGCACCCGGCGTTTGCTGCTCTCTGGATCCCAAGGGGTTCAGAGGTGTGCCATTTTTTGGTGGACAACGATGTACTGTTTGCTCCTGTCTTTGGGGTTAATGCTCACGTTGTCCAATTCCTGGATGGGTCGCTGGAAATTTGAGGCCTGTCTAGCAATGCCATTGAACGTTTCTCGAGGGGAAGAGATTGAGCTCAGGCACGAAGACTTTGTGGTTTTGAATGTCTCATCGAACCAAGATCTCGTAACGCAGCGACCTGCCTGTCTTTACATATGTACATTTGTTGTTGTCCTCTGTCGTACATACCATCTTAAAGTTTTACTTGAACATCCTTAAGCGCAGAACCATGTCAATCGCCGCCGTAAACCATAATATACAAATTAAAAGTGGTCGACAGCGTCCATAGTTCCCAAAAAAAGCGAGCAGTAGCGTAAACATGAAAGAATACAAATCCTTCCAGTCTACCTGCTCGGGTGACATACAGAATACTATCAGACTTATACCTTCAATATATCTGCGGTTTATTCCTGTGTTCTATCCAAGTTTTGGGCTAGGAATTTGTAGAACGTATTCTTCTACGGAGATGCTCAGATTTTTAACAAAGCCTCGGGTTTCTGCGCTTACGCATGTGTACAGTTTTTATTCATACCCAAGTGCTGTCCATCTTAATGATCAGATGTTAATTTTTGTATTAGAAAGCAGCAATTTAAGCAGAACATATCCCATTAAATTGAGAAAGATTTCACCGTCTCCTTCACCAAGCAAATCTCCATCGCTGTCTCAATTGCAGGAATATTGAGGACTCTCAGAAGTGCAGAGCGTATGTGTGAATATATGTACGTGTGTGTAAATATCTATATCTATATATATATATATATACATGCATGACTAAAACAGAGGGGACACACAACTCCCACACTATCGAATTATATTCCTCGTCCATCTGTTGGGCACCGAATTGAACAAGAACCATGTGTCGAATTCGCCAGCCACTATAATTCATTCTTTTTCTTGGAAGTGGGAATCACAATTTGCGACTATAACATGACGTCGAGATCACCTTTACTTTCTGGTCCTGAAAGCTCCCACAATTCAAAGATGACGCTGAGAATGGTTCCAACACTGATTCTCATTGTTCGGGGTTTAGAATTTAATTAAATAAAAGACTTGGTTTCAATGACCCCATTTTCATAAGTGAATCACGTTGGAAGATTCCTGTGACAAAGAGTTGAGTTCGCTCCAGAAAGTGAGAACAACTGTTGGTGGCCAATGTCTTGGTTGCGTTCGCCGAGCTCTTGACTTCTAACGCAACACATGCTCAAGTTCTTTTTCAAGAGCACATGTGTAGTTCAACATGTATGTATGTATGAGTGTATATAATTGTGTTTTTTTTGAATCATTAGAAGTTTAATAACACCAAAATGTCGTCGGCCAAATGAATTGGTCGATATTTGTTTGATAGTAAATCAGTTCTTTGTTGTTTGGACAAATTTAGAGGGTAGAGTTAACAGTATTCATACTTGGTATGTCGGCACTCGTTACTAGCATCAGTTAAAATTTAAAAAAAATATATCTGACGCTGCCAACCAAAGAACTCAATAGGAAATCAATGCATTGCATAGGGTGTGAAGTAGAAGTTAGATTATCGGTATTCTGTAGTTATCATCTTTTATAGTGTGTTCCTTAATACACTTTCAAATAGTACCATAAGTTGTTATAAGATATTTTAAAGAATATCTGATATGTGATTCTAGAACTTGTTGAAAGTCTTTTTTTTAAAAATTAAATCATATATAGAATCTATAAATAGATGAAAATACATCAACTTAAAAACTCATCATCAATACCAAAGAAATATACCAATAGTTCACTTTAATAAGACTATGGTTCATATTGTTGGAAGGATCCTAGTTTAGACTCTAGTTAGATTATATTGGTAGTTGGCATAAATATTTCATAATGCCAAATTCTAAAATTTAATAGAAATAAAATATCATATATTTCTTTAAACACATCAGATATTGGTTTAACATCATGGAAAAACAAGATAAATATGTAAATTATATTAATTATTTTAATTTATGACATTTAAAAAAATAAAAATTTTGTTTTAGAAAAAATTATGTAAATTCAAAAAGCACATTCTTTGTCTTTAGAATATTATTAAATATATTTAAAAAAGATTGTGTAGTCTTTTGCAATACCAAAATTCAATTGGTATATTAGTAATATATATATATATATATATATATATATATATAGTGTTATATTTATATATATAGAGAGAGAAAGAGAGAGTCTTAATACAACATTTTTAATTGATATTGCTATACTCTATGTGACATCTACACAACTTAAATTGACTAGAAATTGTGCTTCTACACTTAGGATGCATTTTGCAAAGCAATATTTTAATTCTTATATTGACCCAAAATAGAATCAATTAGTTTCTTTTTTTATATTTTTGGTAGCTAAATTATTTTAAAAAAATCTAAATTAAATAGTTTTAAAAAATATTATTATGGGATATAGTAATATTAAATGGAATGTAGCATTAAAAATTCTTTCTTTCTCTCTCTCCCTCTTCATTTATATATATATATATATATATATATATATATATAGTTTTAAAATTAATTGTTATGTCTCTACACATGTGATGTTCCTGAAATTCTTTTTGATGTTATATTATTATCCACTTGAAATCCGTGATATATATATATATATATATATATATATATATTAGATTGAAAAAAATAAATTTTAAAATTTTTATATGTGTATTTTTTATTATTATTATTCCCACAAAAGCCTTTAAATTTTAACTCAAAATCAAAACCTTCCTTGCAATGCTAGAGAAATATTTTAAATAAATATTTGTGATGTTTATTTCTATTGAATTAGAATAAATGCTTTTATTTATATTAGAATTTGTAGAGGTTTGTAAAAGCTTCATAAAATTTAAGGAAGTAAACATTAGATTATAATGAAATCATTTATAAAATATTTGTTTTTACCTTTATTTTAGGTCTTAGTATTACTTAAGTGAATTTAAGATAAAAATAATATTTTAATAAGTCAAGTTTATCATAGAATAATAATATTTTAAAAATTTGGACCAAGAAAGAATTTTCCCTTAAAACCTTGGACAATTAAGTTCTAATGCTACTAGAAAACATTTTAAAAATTAAAATTTTGTAAAGATATGTAGTTTTGAAGTAATTTACGAGTTTTTTCATAAAAATAAAATTGCTATTGAAATTCAAAATTTTAGAAACATTTTTTTACATTATAACATTTTGGTAAGTTACAAGACATTCCCATCTATTGTATAGTGTAGGTTTTCAATAATTCTACTTAAAATACATATGTATACATTGCATGAAACTTAGTTTTATTTATTTATGTATTTATTTATGTATTTATTTATTTATAACTTTAAATCATGTAATTTTTTAAAAATATTCTTGTGTAGTGGCAAAGAAACCACCAAATAAAGATATTTTAAAACAATAAAAATCTAGATTACAAGCCCAAAAAGTAATACACTAATGGGGATCTCGAAAATCGTCTAGAACAGAAGATTCCAATTTCATCGAATGAACGAAAAAATTCGGATGAAATCAGAAGACTTGGGAGATCTGTCCATCCATCTCGAAGGGAGGTGCTGCTGCCGTTGCGTTGATGGTGGAGATGCGTCGTCCCCTCGCTCGATCTCCTCGCGAACCCTAAAATCCCGTGCGAAATTGCGTCCGTCTCCGAGACGCAACTCTCGCGCGTGCACAGAATCGAGCCCAATTAGCCTCTTTACCCGTCGATTTGCTGGGTGAAGTGCACAACAGCAAGCCTACTTCCTGCCTCCTCTTATTGAGTTTTAGCGTGGCTTTCGTTGTTGGGTCAGGGTTTAGACGGACTTGGCAGCCATGGCGTCCATGGCAACGACTGCATTCCACGCTGCCACTGCTGCCAACAGAGCTTGCCTTAGCTCCATTGCTGCCTCGTCTGCTTCTCCAGCCTCGTGCAGGAGCGTTTCTTTCTCCTCGTTTAGACTCGCAGCTGCCTCTGGATTGCCAGGCTTGAGCTTGTCGTCTGCGTCGGTGCGGGGTGGGTTCGTGAGATTGCAGAGTGATGGAGTTTCTAAGGTTAGTGTGCAAGGCATGCCCGTGCAGGTTCGAGCTGATTCTTCTGCTTCCGCGGGTCCCAAGTCGGGATCCTCTACCTTCAAGGTTGCGGTCCTGGGAGCTGCCGGAGGAATCGGGCAACCGCTCTCTCTCTTGATCAAGATGTCCCCCTTTGTGTCCGAACTTCGCTTGTATGATATTGCGAATGTTAAGGGAGTTGCTGCAGATCTTAGCCATTGCAATACCCCCGCACAGGTACATATGTACTTTGTGGGCTCCATCTTTGAATTCTGTGTAATTCAGCAGGCCTCGTTTTGTGTAGCGTTTTCGTGAGAGTGTATCCTTCTCTTTCAAGCTGAGTCTACAAAGAGTTCCTCAACCTGTACCGTATGGCTGTGTGAAATGATATAGCTATTATTGATTCGTTCTAACTGTCCTTGGCCAGGTGTCTGCCTACACCGGCGCTGGAGAGCTCGCAGGAGCATTGAAGGATGTTGATCTCGTGATCATCCCGGCTGGAGTTCCGCGCAAGCCTGGCATGACCAGAGATGATTTGTTCAATATCAACGCCGGCATTGTCAGAAGTCTCGTTGAAGCTGTTGCTGACCATTGCCCCAACGTGAGAATTTCTCGCACCAATACATGCTTGCATAATATGTAAAGTTGGCTACTTCATGGTCCGTTGTCATCGGATTGCGCATACAATTCTCTCTCATTGGGCTGAGATTCTACCAATCCTAGTAACCAGTGTTTTCTGTTACAGGCCTTGATTAACATCATCAGCAATCCTGTGAACTCCACAGTCCCAATTGCTGCGGAGGTTCTCAAAGCCAAAGGTGTTTACGACCCCAAGAAAGTCTTCGGTGTGACTACATTGGACGTAGTGCGTGCCAACACATTCGTAGCTCAGAAGAAGAACTTGCGTCTCATTGATGTGAACGTCCCCGTGATTGGTGGGCATGCCGGTATCACTATTCTTCCCTTGCTTTCAAAGACGAAGCCTACCGTTGAGTTTATGCCCGAGGAGGTGGAAGAGCTGACGGTGCGCATTCAAAATGCTGGTACCGAGGTTGTGGAGGCCAAGGCTGGAGCTGGATCTGCTACTCTCTCAATGGTAAGATTCCTATTTTGCATCCAACATGGTTGGCTTAGTATGTTACGTAAAATGAACTATATTCCTGCGTAAACACCTATCTGGAGGTAATATTCACAATCCCTGCATCTAAGCAGTGATGATGTGGTTCATTTATGTACGCAGGCGTATGCTGCCGCCAGATTCGCTGAATCTTGCATGCGAGGATTGGATGGCGACTCCGATGTTTATGAGTGCGCTTATGTGCAATCTGAGGTATGGATGACATTTGATGTTAGCCCCTCTTTCCAGATTTAAAGCCAGTCTCTGTTTCGTAGTTTCTGTGGTTTTTTCTTTTGTGATTGAATTGGAGGGTCAGTCATTCTTCCTTTCTATTAAATGTTGAATAGTACTCATAGCTCTTTTGTGTGATATTTCCTTAGGTCACGGATCTGCCTTTCTTTGCCACCACGGTAAAGCTTGGAAAGAAGGGAGTTGAGGAAATTGTTGGTGAGGATTTGAGTGGCTTGACCGAATACGAGAAGAAGGCTGTGGAGGCGTTGAAGGCAGAGTTGAAGGGCAGCATTGAGAAAGGTGTCCAGTTTGCGAATAAGCAGGCTGCCGCCGTCTAAATTCAATTAGACACGCAAGTACTTGCGGTGGGGTGTTAGCATTCAACGTTGGATTCCATTGATACGTCTTCAAATGTTTTTCTTTAGCACGAGTTTGATTGATATTGGCCCCCACCACATTTCGAAATTCCAGTAGTTGAGTTAATTTTGCGAGTGACTTGGTGGTACTGGTCACAATATAGCATTATACCCCCATTTTCATGTCCTTTTTGTGTGACAAAGGGGACTCAAATTCTTGTTCAGACAAATTGGAAGACGGTACGTGAATTTTTGCCTCTGATATTGTGAGCCGGGTATCCTGGTAGTGTATTGGTTTGTACCATTGGGTCTTCACAATTAGTGCTGTTCAGTAACTCGTGTCTCAGCTCCCGGAATCGTGGTTCTACTTGTAGGTATTGACCGTTTTTTTCTTCTCAAGCTACGTTTCTCCTCACACCATTTGCTTTCACCACGTTCTTTCGAAGTTGAGTGTCACTTGCATGATCGAGCTGTATACAACAACGTATCTCTCTCTCTTTCTATCTCTTTCTCTGTGTGTGAAAAGATACTGATCTTCAGTTGTAGTGTAACAACCACTCACATATGTGAAGGAAAGCTTCTAATAGCACATTTTAACCTAATCATGAGTACTTTGAAAGCTTACTGTCTCGAAATTACCACACCCCTCATGTTCCGGAGCATCGATGATATGACTGCCCGCAACAATGATGGTGTCCTGTTTTGAAGAATGTAAAACCAATCAACTAGTTACTACAGGTGAAGCAAAGCAAGACCTACTTGAAAATGTATTTACAATTGATGGGATCTAGCTGCAATCCTGAAATCGTTATGAAGAGTAGTCGTCATCACGAACCTCGTATATAGCAGTAATTCACAACATTCAAAGTAATTGAGATGATTTTACAAGACACCAAATACAGCAGTTCTACAAGTCAAGCACATGCCCTGATCATTTACTCTTGATGCCACCATCCTGTGAGCCATGACACCATGCTGTGGAACTGAATGTTCCAATGCATCATGAAACATGGGGAAACCTATAAATGGAGTACTACTGCTTTTGAACTACATTTAGTGAATTTCTTGTAATTGTTATTGACCATCTATTATATTTAAATTGATTCTCAAGTTAGGGTTACACAAATGCAAATGAACCTTTTGGTGGTGAAACGGTTTACTAAAACGTAAACTGGACTTGCAAAACCTTAAGTTATTAAGGTTTTCTGCAATGAATGTCGGGTGGTGTAAAATGACTGCATCATGATCAGAACACATGCATCTTCAAAACTAAAATGCTTTTGAATATTTTTCAATTGAATCATTTTAGTGACTGTCGTTGCAAAAGCTCATTTTTGTTGAAATCATTGGGTCTGTAAAAATAAATAAATAAATTCAGGTTGGTGTATGATGTTTGGTTGTAAATCAATTTACCACCAAAGAACTCAAATGAAAGAATTTTATCTTGATTGGCATTTATATTCTGGAGAAAGGGATTATTCCAATTTCAGGTTCCTTATAACCTAGATCCAGATTCATGATCTGCTGCGATCAGCAGAATGCATCCTCACCTACGAAAGAAATTTACTTCAACTCAAGCAACTTACAAAGTAATACAAAGTAATACAAAGTTTCTTGACTCCTCAATTTACAGTTTAATGCCACAAGAAACATACGTTTAGATAATTTTCAAACAAAATCTAGCCAATTCTTCAAATAGTACTTGGTCTTGACGATATAATTCAATTTTATAATTTCAGGTCGAGTTGTGTAGAATTGAATGCCTCATTTAGGAAAACAAACATAATTGTTACTCTGTCAAGTTTAGGTGGGCACCTGCATAGGAGATAGGCCAGGAAGAAATCCATCAGTTGTAGAAGCGAAAGGCCACATAACAGCGACATCAGCAGCACCTCGGTGTCGGCGGGACTATACCTTTCGATAAGATTGAATATGTAAAAATATCAATATCAATATCAACACCTACAGAGTCGGTTTCAGTCGCTGGTGTGGTAGCCAGGCAATCCATAGCTCCTCCCATATCGTTCAAAACTGTATTGGAATTGATGCTCGAAGACCAGGTGGAAATGGGAGGAGCTTGCTGAAGTAGTTTGACTCGAAGGTTTCTCAAGCCAGTCACTACATCACCGTGCACAAGACTAGGAAGTGGCAGCATACCATATTCGAATGCCTCTCGTCGCACATGAAGCCATGGTGGCTCCCCTGCTGCTCCTATACTCTTATGTCCTGCTGTCTCAGCACTAATATTGCCTACTTATATATTTCCCTCTTTCATTCAAACTTCAAAAATGTGAAAAATTCGAACCTGCAAAAGTCACAACTTAATCTGACGTAAATACGATGAGGCATCAATCAAAGAGAAACACTGGTCCGTGGAGTGCAACGAAAAGACCTTTAGCCAGGTTCAGCATAATCCTCATGATTCTATTTTCATTTCGAGAAACGATCTCTAACCCTCATGAGTTTGATCAGAATTCAGCATGTTTTGATTTCCTCTCCAGCTACACAGGTTCTAAACTCAAGAAATTTCTGTCATGAATATAGTTTTTATTGTCAGGTTTGCGGATGCCGACACCCGTCTAACTCATATTACAGATGAAACCGCACGTGATACACCTTTTGAGGTTCCTTCCTGGATGATCATTAAGTTCCATTTTTACAATGAGCCCCACACCGCACTGGCTTCAGCTGAGAGTTCTGCAACAGGTAGAGATTAACATGCAAAGAGCATTGTAGACAGTAACACCATTGAGGCCAATACGTCATGAGTACTTCCGGACCTTTCCAGCATGACGTGTTGAAGTCAAAAATAAATAAATGAATGTCGTTGGCTGACAAAATAGCATGGCGATATTAATTAAGACAACAGTATCATCCTAAAGAGGTGATTAAGTTTTCCTACTCTAACCCGATCTCCAAAATTAAGAAGGTCTGGACACTTACGGAACCCGAAGCAGAGATCCGTCGCACTGGAAACCACCAATGCAACTCCTCTGCCGCTTGGCTCTCACAACCTAATCCTAAAAGAAGCTACTCAAAACAATCTCTTCCGCGTGGTTCATTCATCACTACTTCACCAGCTCACAACCAACACCTTTCTCCAGGCACCCTGCTGGTTGTCTGATCGTTGAAATTACTCCTTCCTCCAGTCCTCTACCACTTCACGCTAGCTGATCACTTCAACCACGCGCAACTACTCTTCCTCTGCTCTTCTTCCCTGCCCCACGTTGCAAACGCTACTAATTCTATTCTCGCATGCATCCCAACGACTTCATCCACAATCACCATCACCTCCTATCTCACATTCCTCTCCTTCGCTCCCTCCAACTCAACTCCCTGCCAAATTATGATCATGAAAGAAATTCCGCCTGAGAAGCTGATTCAGCAGATGCTACAGCTCCCGCTTGGCAACACAAGGAGATTGACAAAATAAAATAAAATAAAATAGAATTCTGTTTTTTCAAATGTACATGACCGCATGAAGAGAGACCCTTGCCGTAGGTGGAACATCTAGATCGAAACTGAGGAAAGGCGGAGTCGAAACGAGAGTAGGGGAATGAGAGGATCTCATCTCCAACCACGCTCCAAACTAAGATCTGGTTGCACTCTGCCTCGACACGGAGTTCAAGCTCAAGCACCAAGTGGGTTTGCAACTGCAGCTCTAAATAGCAATCAGGAGCTATTCCTTTATAGCAAATGCTGGAGTTGCACTCGGGTGCGCACTCACCAAACAAACAGCAGTCTCGGACTGTGGACAGAAACAACCTGCACCGATGAGACTAACACCCTAACTCAAGAAACACCTCCTCGGCATTCACAGAGTATTAAAAAGATGGGGGCCAAATGCTCCACAAAGACGACCACAACCGCAGAGTTACACAAACGACCAAAACCAATTGTGGGTTTCAAGCACGCTCATCAATGCAGTCCATTGGAAGCTCAACAAAACGTGTTCGTTACAACGACCAGCCTACAAGCTCTGTCTCAACTTTTGCAAACTCCCACAAGAAAAAACTTGAGTATACACTCTCTCAATGCATAAATTCCACCAGATTGCTACAACATGAAACTCACAGAGCTCACCAAAACAGGATACGAACCGGCTGCTGTGGCATCTCTTCACGCAATGCACCGATCCACAAGCCTTTCTCCAGCACCTTCACGATTCCAACAACATACCTCTGCAATTGTGAAATGCATAGTCTGGTATGATTCAAGGGTATTCAAAGAACCTACACATCAGGGGTTGTGGGAAGTGCAAAGCAAAGGAGGATTGTGCATGCATAGGATAATGCAACAGTGGTGGATCTGCACGGTGATGATTTTCTCACAAGCTGATGTGGGGATAGGGCATTGCAATGTATCTGTGATTCAAAGAATCAACTCTCGTTATTATCTTTAGACAATTCCATTCTCAACCTCTCTCTCTATATATATGATGTATCTTTCAATCTGTCATTTCTTCACTCTTTTAATCATTTTTTTGACAAGGAGGTTCTCTATATTTATCCACTATAGGATTGTTTTAGTTACAAATTGATTTAAGACATTTATTATTACTGGTTACAAATACTTTCAATGGATGTTGAGTTTGATGAAAAATAAATAAATGTAATCACAACAATTTTCTACATGGGACTTTAAACTAATATATATATATATATATATATATATTCAATCATTTTCAAAACCCCCTTCATATATCTCGTATTATTATAACATTGAATGTAAATGGTTATATCTGAACGGAAAGGTAATGTTGGTAGTATACTTTAATTTTTTTCAAATACTTAACTTCACAAAATCATTTTTATGTGTGTGTGCATGTATGTATGTGTGTACATATATATATATATATATATATATATTATACTTAATGCCTACTATAGCTTCTTCATTGTGATAACTACAAAAATATTAATTTATATCATAATCAAATGTATTGCAAATTAATAATAATTAAAAAAACCAAATGATATGTTTATTTACATAGTGCACAACATGTCAAGAAAGCAAACAAAATATTTCAATTATATTAGAAACTTGTGGGTTATTATAATTTGTATTCATGATAGTCTACAAAGGATATATATATATATATATATCGTTTAGAAAACTGACAACTCAACATCCATTGAAAGTAACGTTGGAACAACACGCCAATGCTGCACTTGGTTTGGAACAGTTGATTCATGGCCATTCTTATAACGAGCTGGTTACTACAAATACATTACCAATTCACTCATCTTCGTAATCTATGCTCTAGCAACCGTGCAAGTTCGTGCCATGTTCTTGAAAATTTGTTACATTACACTCAACCTATTCGAACCTCCCTTATTTCTACCTCTACTCTTCTACATTTGTAACCAGGCATAGTTCTTCAAATCTGAACTTTAAAACCTTCACCTAAAAACTGAACTCTTCCTCCTCTAAACCTAGTGAAAATCCTTTAGTTAACACCATCTCTTGCAGGCTCTTCGCTTGGGACTCGTCAATACCAAGTAGCTCTCGTAACCTCGATACTTTCTCATCTGACTGAGGATCTTTCACGTATATGCAGAAGAGATCTAGCAGTTCATCTTTGACTGCCCAAGACAGAGCAGGTGATGGGGACACCTTGTCGCACGCCAGCAAGTTGTTCAAAGTGGAAACCTAGCAGCACAAGGTTATCCAATGTTAAGACGTGATTTAATATCATTTAAGATGAGCCCTAGAGCAAATGCCATTTCGGAGATACATGACGTTGTGGCTTGTTGTTAGTTTGCAGTATTATTGTAACATCTGTATGAACCTATGCATTGGAGATACCAGATTGGAGTCTAAATAATGGCTAGCTAATTCGCCATATAATAAGAGATAAAAAAATGATACTAAGCGTAAATATCATCAGAACAGGTTCAGTTTGGAGACTCACCACGTCAGCCGGTTTCTTTTGTCGCAGGAGTGAAACCGCTTGAATGAGAGAATTCGACAACCTTTCTTTGGCAAGGTCCAGCGTCATCTTCTTGGCTTCATCTGTGGTAATGCCTAGCTCTTCGGGCAGCTTCTCGTACAGTTCGGCTTCATCAAAGTCCCCAGTTCCTGAAGATAGAGTTCTGTCGACTACCTTTTTGAATAACTTTTGCCTCACTGGCTTAGGGATCATCCCATCGATGTCCACTCCAGCTTCCCTTAGTTCTTTCACTTCTTCAACATTCAGCCTTCCTTGGTTAATAGCAGATTCGATAGCACCAGACATTCTTGTTGTGGTGATACCCTCGATGACCTTCTTGGCAGACTCTGCTGGCAAGCCAAGTTGCTTCTGGAGTTCCGTGAGTTGCTCCATACGGGCTTTGCTAAGCTGGCCATCAGCCAATATAACCTGCAGTCAAAAGATTTCTAGAAAGTAAGATAGCAGATGATGGCACTTCAAGGATGTTTCCAGCTCTTCTCAACTTAGAAACGACAGCCACTGCGGCATGCAATGTAAGGAGTAATATGCACACAATAGGTTCACTAGGATTGTCATTTCACACTTAGAATAAATGTAGGTTATTATACAAAAGCGGTTATGAAAGCTGACCTTCGCTTGTTGACTGAATGCTTGCTCAGCAAGACCTTTATGAACATCCGCAACCTCCTTAGAAGTCATGCCCAAGATTTGACCTAATTGACCAAGTCTCACAAACTCCGTATCATCCCTTTGAGTAACGATTTGAGTGCCCATAGGCATTCCAGTCGTCTCTCCCGAGAGACAGTAAATCAAATAAGTTCTGTAGAGGTCCGTCCGCTCACGTAATTCCAGTTCATCTCTAACTGTGATTTCATTTTGTGAACTTTTTTCCATGCGGCCTTCAAGTTGGGCTCCAGGCTTGGTTTTCTTCAGAGACTGGATGTTCTCAAAGTCCTCCTCATCCTCAAGGTCAATATCTTTCTCATCCTTCTTGGTTTCTTCCTTGGTCTCTCCTTTCTCTGCAGCTGGGATGTCACCCTTAATATCAGCAATAAGCTCTGAAACTACTATGTTGCTGAAGATGACCATCTTCTTAAGCTCCCTAGCAGACTCCACACGGCTACCAGCACTCCTTGATCTCTTGACATACGTCAAAAACACTCCCCGGACCTGCAAAGGGAAATAACAAGTGACCTCAGTAGTGAACCTAACAAAGCTTAAACTATGACCACGCCCAGAAGTGCAGTGCGTCGAGCTTACTTAAAGCATATGGCAGGTTTCTCATTGAACTCATTGACATATAAATAGAGTAGATACACCCAGCATGTACAACATTGATAAAATGCCTTCAAGGAAAAATCGCTCTTCAAGAAAAACGTATGCGTGAGAAGAATTCGAAAAGCACAATTATACAACTATGCACTTTCAACAAGAAGGACAACAAACAATAGCACTAGGATCTATTTTTAAAGTGAAAATTATCCATAATTCTGCTTAAAAGCTGGCCTACAATTCAGCCATCAAATCTCCAGAGAAATGGATTTGAAAAAAACCGGTAAGTTGATAGGGGCAAATTACTAACCGCCTTAGATGCGATGTCCATAGCAGCCTGTTGTGTGAGACGTAGGCCTGTTGCTGCATTTCGTACAGCAGCCTTCATATCTGCATCATAACCATCGATACCTGCACTAATGGCATCATCCACTACCTGCATTACCAAGGAAAAACAGCGTCATATTTAAGAGAATCGATCAAAATTGCCTGAAACAACCCCAAAGGTTGAGAGCAACCCAGACTACTCGTGACAATGTAATACCTAAACAAGAAATGTGCAAGGTAAAACGCCTGAATCAAGAAAATTGCATGTAAAAGCTATTCTGCTGTGGAAAATGAAGTACACTCACAGGAAAAGAGAGTAGGGTTTAGAAATAACATCCACAAACAAATACCTTTGTGAAGATACGTCCACAAATTTGAGCATGCGCAGAGTCAACAATGTCTTGAGGAATGCACAAAAATACGCGCAACCGCAACAGGTTTTTGACGTCTTCATCGTCCAATTTGCCATCCGCGACACACTGCTCAAGTTTATTCCTGTAAATTTCTGCACAACCCAGGGCCTCTCAGATAGGAACTAAATCCAAATAAACCAAAACAAGAAAACATACATAGAAAAATTAAATAAACATATCCCACATCCAACATTCAACAAACATTAGATGAAATGAAGACCTTACGACATACTTAATATTTGCGTTGGACAAGGAGAATTTAATGAGTTTAGTTATGAGAGCTGAAAGACAAATACCCTCATGAATTTGACTAGCTTTAGTAGGGTCGAACTTCAGAGTGTCACAAAGATTTTGCAGGAAAACTGCCTTGCTTGGTGCAGCCTCGAGGTCGCCATTCTGAACAGCTTTTGCCAACAAGCGCCTATATATCTTCACAACAACTTCTTGCATAACATCTTCAGCTTCCCGTTTGCCCATTCCAAAGGTGTTTCTCAGCTGGCCAAGTGCAATTACCTGTTCCATATTCTCCTGGATTTAGTATATTTATTAATTGGACACTTCAGAAACTGCAGCACATGCACTGATGCTCCTGCCGCTTACATTTACAGGCCTATTCAAGATTTTTGCAATACACACCCACAGACAACAGTGTCCTAAAGCTAATAATCTTTACTCATAAACACTGAAGAGTTAAAAGATCTTCATTCAGCACATCTTTACATTGTCAGTTTAGAGTGTACACCTTGGTATCCTCTAATTTGCCACCAGCGAACGCTTCAGTAAGGAATACGCGATAAAGTTGTTTAAGATCATCCATCTGCCGGTCAGATTCAAACTGGCCACCTGAAACCAAACACATCTACCTTTAGTAAAAACTCACCAAATACGCAATATCTGATCACACGTTTAGTAGAGTACAACTGGCAATGTAATATATCGGTCAGCAACAGCTGATTTACTATCTGCTCTCCGTATAAACTAAAGGTTTCTTCTCTGAAATCGCTGCAGCAATAGGAGATTCGAGAAAAATGGATTATACCTAGAACACTAATAGGGCCAATCCCAGGAAGAAGATCATTTGCATCCGCTCCAGATGCAATAGCACCTAATTTCGCATTGAAGGCCAATGCGTTGTCCAGATCTCTGACTATCTTCGTAGTGTCCCTACATTACGGAAAATCAATTCACACGTCAATCTCAAAGACCAAGGTCCTCATGCACATGAGAGCAAGTTCAGACGAACGCTTTAGTCGAAAGGAGGTTCATTAGAGAATCACTGATTTCGAGGACTCACGGGCTTAATAGATTCAAACCAAAACCAAAAGATGCGTGATTGATGTTTAAGACGATGTAATCACTATAAATAAATAAATAAATAAAAACCTAAACATGAAGTAGGTGCAGTAACAAACTTGATCCGAGCTCGAGATTTCAAGATTTCCATGGCAGAAACAATGTGCTGTTCAAGTTGCTTTTGGACATGACTTCTAAAAACTTCAGCAGCAACCTACAACACAGTTTGACCAAAATGAGTCGATCTGGAGTAAACTATACATGGATGTGAGACTTAATCTTGCAACCCCTGATGTCTTTGATCCTTCGTGATACGCTAGATGAAAACATATAACAATTCGGCTGCATCTTTCAGAGGCTGAACAAAGATGAAGAAAATCCAGCGGTTGAAAATACGATGATTAGCACGACCCACAAGTCTAAAATCTATGACCAATGACGAGTGCTAGGAAAATAGATGAAAGCACAGCACCTCATCTGTAAGTTTCAGTTTAAGTTGGGTCTTCCTCAAGTCCTTAATCTGCTCGATGTCAAAATCTGCAGCATGAAATTGAAAACATCGTTTATGAAGGCCACCAAGTGTATTAATGGCAGCTATCAGGAATTTCAAAGCGGGGAGAATAGATAACGCAAGGGAACTCAACTTCAACAGAGTAAAAAAAAATCTTCTCTTGAAAAACACGAGTCATTTCATTTCGCTTGAGTTATCTTGTTGAAAATATAGACGCTGCAGAACTTACCGGGCCCGATACTGTTGAGTTGCACACTAAATAGGCGCGATGCATTATCCCGTACAGCAACATCAACCTGAAGGCATTCACTTGTATTTCAATGAGTCAAATTTGAAAAAACTAGGCTGGTTCTTATATAAAACTCAAGAAAGATGCCTTGTGAGAGGAGCAGTGATTGACCTGAGCATCTGTAACTTTGAAAACCCGCTTCCATGGAAGTAGAAACTTGGAGGCCTCGCCAAATACCAAAGTTGACACGTACACTAACTTCTGGAATGTCTGTAAGCACTCAAATCAGAAATCCTCAGCATATGTGTGCAAAAATTGAACCGGGATAAAAATACTGGAATCCTCTTCCAAGGATGAAGAGACGCGTGAAAGCCATAATTCATCAATCGCCAGAAATACTTCCTGTTTTGGATGTTATGACACCAACTTTCTAAATCGGACCGCTTTCACGTTAACAAATGCCCAGACTTGTTCGATGCAACGAGCAATTTGAACAACAAAACAAAAGCCAATGCACGCCGGCTCTTAGTACTCCAAGCATCCAAACGCAAGTGGACATAAGAAAGATGTTCACGGCTTACCCTGCGCTCCTCAACGGCACCTTCGCGATCACCAATCTCTAATCGTTGCCTGAATAAGCGTCTGCCAACCTGGAAATCCATGCCAATATTATAAACCTTTCCGAGAAGGAAGGTGCACCCGCCAGACATAAGCGTATTCAAACCCAGACAAGGACACTAAGAAGGATATCATGAAAAGACAAAGTTCCTGTACATTCTAGTTTGAACAGACTCGTTGTTGCAGCCAACACACAGAGTGGTCATGATGTAAGCGGGTTAAGCATATTAGAATTCTTAAACAGACATCCTACAAGTACTGCAGTCTTACACGTGGATGGAAAAGATAACTTAGTACACAGAAAATAGTCTCAGGTGATTCGAGAATGCTTCATACAAGAGAATCACGCACTAAAAATTCTACCTCAATGTGCATAGCCGCAGCATCAGGATCATCCAAGCCCAGAGCATTCTTAAATGCAATAATGGATTCCACTTCATCTCCCTTCAAATCTCCATTTCCTGGAGGAATTACCCCCGTAATATAACTGGCGTACAAGTCTCGAATCTCAGCATTGAACCTTTCATTTTGCCTACTGATACCATACCTGTAAACAATCATAGTAAAGTTACGGTTAGGTCTTCTCTAAAATTTCGAATTTTCAAATCCAGATGCCCATCGACAAAAGAATCCGCCACCTCATCGATGGGGGTCGTGTGCAGGTTTTTAAATAGCTTGATTCATAGCAACCTTAGACTTGGCACAAACATTCGGGGCTTCCTCAACAATGACTTGAACCCTATATCTACTCTGCAAGCACCTAAAATATGATGAACATCATTCTAAAGAGGTCAGTAAAAACCCTGAACCCAACCGTTTCAAACTATGTATACACAGGTGACCAGGAATTCGAAAATCTGACGATGACCCCATTCGAAACTTGTAATTAGCAATCGTCTACAGACACAGCACCCTCATTTCGTTCTCATAACCAATACAGACAGACTGAGAAAAGTGGTCATACTTAGTCGCAGAAAAACCTGACGCAACAGTCCAGCCGGGAACTTCAGTTACTCATCCACTACAAGATAACACTCCCAACTCACTCCGGGATAGAAAAAACATTGAATCGTGCAACATCCTCAGATGTTTTACCATCATCCCAGACGTTGCGAATTCTCAATTTGAAAGAATTCATGGACAACTTGAGTGACCGCACCACGGCAAACGTCGCATGAAATCATAAAACGAAAAAGACATGAATATCATACTTTTTTCCAACTTCGTCAATTTCAGTAGGGGTCAAGCTCGTAGGATCAGAGTGATTGACAAGCTTATTTCTCAGCTGCACGGCTGCGACCTGGGGAGCCGCAGCATTAAAAGCAAAAACAGTTGCACCTCCAATGACACCCAAAGAGACCGCTCCCCCAACAGCAGCAACCTGGGACCCTTGGTACCTTCCTATGGGCACCCTTCCTCCCAGCAGGTATCCTGCTGCCAACGCTCCAGCCACAACGGCTGCGCTTCCGACATAGCGGGCGGGCGCCGGCAACCCTTCCAATATCTTCTGTGGCCCCGAGAGCTGTTGCTCCCTCCCAAACAAACTAACCTTGGGTGAGGAATTCGAGGCTTCCTGCTCTAAGAGAGCCCTACATGTCAATCGCCTCCTGCTGCGAAATACAAAGCTCGTTGGCAATGCCTTCCCGGGTCGTCGAGGCAGCGAAGCTTTCCACAACCCAGTGTATGAGGGAATCCTAGCTGAAGAATTAGAGGTGAATCCAGGTTTGTGGTGGCACCGAAGCGTCTGCGCTTGAGAGGCTAACATGATGGTGAATGCTTCTCACACTGTTCAACAAGAGGTAAGCCAACCCTTCTCTAGCGCAACCGAGAAAGGATTGCGGCAGAGAGGGGGGAGACACGCACACTGGGACCAGAGCCAGGGGAGGGAGCAAGGCAAAAGACTAAATGCTTCAACAGAATGCAGTTGTATAGCTACACCGGAAACCTTCCCAACTATCGACAGGCGGATGGATAAGTCGCGCGCTACTGCCTTTGGAATGACGAGTTGGGATCATTTACTGCCATGACTCGAAGTGACCACCATATTATTTTAGTATCTATATTTTTCAGGTTTATAGGTTTCTGTATGAATGACTCTCACTCGCAAACCCTGGCGAAGGGTAAGGGATGAATGAGAATCTACACGTCTCTTCGCTCAGAGTGTATTCCTATTTCGAGCCTGGGCTGCTATTGCGAAGGGAATGACGATCATTGGCGGGGTTGGATGGACGGTGGTAGATGCTGCTGGCAATCCAAAAGGCCTTATGGTTCAGAACAGAGCTGGTGGTGGTTGTAGACGGAGAATTGTAAAGCCTTTGCTCGGGAGCCAAACATATTTTGGAGCATCTTGGGAAACGTACAATTTCATGTCGTGGATTTCGTGTGTTCTCCAAATGTCTGGAGTTTTTGGAGGTAAGCGTGTTGTATTGGCAATGGACCTTTGTTGGTCTTAGGGTGTGGTTTGGTGCTCTGACGCTGAATTAGAGGTTTTTCGTCTCTGATTTGGGTGGTGGTGTTTGAATATTGAATTCTCAAGTAGTATGTTTAGAATTGCCAGATAGGTATCCAAAACCATTACCGGAATTTCACATGGTGTTGACTGTAGAGTTAGGTTAAGCTTCTCTACGAAGCCATCACGGTTGTTTTTAATGGCTTTTGTTACCCAGAGCTCGAGTCAAGTCTGCTGCACATAGAATTTTGGGTGTTCGACAACTTGAAATTACGATTATGGTATCATTAGAATTTGAGATTGCGACACTTTGTTGAACTAATAAACGTCACTCACATTTAATACAGATGCTGCATGTGCTTATCGTCTTTCCAAGAGTTCATATGCTGTGCTTTTGTATTCTTTAAGAAACTGTTTTCTGATGCCCTCATTAAGAGTAGTGTTAACACAATAGCTGAAGTAAGGAACGCAAGAAACTTACCTACAATTTCACCTTTGTATGAAGATTAAAAGTGGTTTGTGCGGAAAGGTGTAGGGAGCCAGGCAAGTGAATTGAGCTCAACCGGTTCTATGGACTCAGGCTGGCATTTGTTATGTTTCGCAGAGGAGAAATCGTAACATGAGCTACTGGTGGATGAACTGTGAACCACGGGAGGATTGATGCGGAACAGTTTGGCAGGGGCTGTGTTACCCATACGACGGCTTGCGATAATGGCAACTGCTGGAGCAAACTCACATGCCAAGCCTCCGTTGAAGGGGATAGTCTTCGACATGGACGGGACCCTCACTGTGCCCTGCATCGATTTCCAACTCATGTACAAACGCACATTAGGGGAAGACCACCCGGACGTTGTAAACAACTCCCCAATCGACATTCTGCACGAGATTTCCTCGTGGAGCCCCGACAAGCAGGTTCGCGCATACGCTATTATCACGGAAATTGAGAAGGAAGCCCACGGCAAGCTCCAGATTATGCCGGGCGCCAAGGAGGTTTGCTCGTTTCTGGACGTTCGTCGCATTCGTCGAGGTCTAATCACCCGCAACGTGAAAGATTCCGTCGACTACTTCCACTCTCGATTCGGATTGAAAGCATTCGCCCCTGCCCTGAGCCGTGAGTTCACGCCTTACAAACCCAGCCCAGCGCCGTTACTGCACATCTGCGATGTCTGGGGTATGAGCCCTAGCCAGGTCATGATGGTGGGTGACAGCGCATCGGACGATATCGTCTGCGGCAACCGCGCGGGCGCCTTGACATGCTTGCTGGACGAGTCAGGGCGATACGAAACTGGATCTCTTCCCGATGAACAAACCCCAACCCACAAGATTCAGAGCTTCTACGACATCATCTCCATCCTCGACAACTATGATCTGCAATCTGCAGAAACAGGCTAGCAGAGCCAGGATTGAGCATCTTGGCTTTAGCGCACCCACTAGCTCCACATCCATTGATTCCAACCCACGTCGGCCTCTCCCAGCTCCTGCATCTGAGGCAACTCCTCTTGGTGCGATCATGACTTGGATCGGTCTTCTTTGTGGATTGTCATACCAAATTCCCGTTGCACACTCTTCGTGAGAATCCATACATCATAAAATCCAATTCGAGATTAATCGCACTTCGAGGGATTTGTAGGAATTCGGGGACTGATTCGCGGGTGCAGTTTCAAGCCGAGAGACGAGGATTCCAGTTGTCGTATCAAGTTTGGAAGGATTTGTATGAATTAAGTAGATGAAATTTATTCAAAGATTTGTTCTGGAAGAGTTGGATTCGCCTACATTTTTCGCGAGGTGGTAATTGGCATCTTCCATCTCCTAGTTTTTACCTTTTATTATACACGAGGGATAGATCTCGCCTACACTTTTAGGAGTGTTTTGGCCATTAAACATTTGACATTATGGCTTGATAAATTTTAAGTGATTGTGTAAGCAAAAAACGGCGAGTGATCAGTTTTTGTCCAATCTGTCCATCAGACATATTTTCACTTGTTGGTATAAACGTACTGAAGATTTCATCTTATAAATTTGTCTGTAATTTTTACAATTGGTATGGACTCTCTTTAAACCGCTCAGTAATATATTATTTTGATTAATGAGTAAATTATCCATGCTATTTGCTGTTTCGTGTAAACTTTAACAAGTTGTTATTACCCTACCCGTGTGTACTACTTTCCATCAGTTATGATTCCAGTCAAGTACTTCTGCTTGATATTGGACAGCCCTGATTCGTATCAGCCATTCCGGTTTCGGCTTCCCATTGACTACAATCCGAGACGTAGTGTATGTCCAAGTACTTCTGCTAACTTCATCATCAAACATCGGCAGTTCAAGTTTAAACTGTCCAGTGGCTTTCCCGGATTCAGAGAGACCAACCAGCGCCCACGAATCCAGTATAACCACGGCCTGTGATTTCGCGCAACCGCCATTAAACCATCAAGTATTGTCTTACTCTTGGTATTGGTAAAGGGGCGCAAGGACTGTCAGCAAACCACCATTGCGGTGGTCGTCTCGGAAACCCTCAGAAACCCGTGTCAAATCATTCGCCAACTTCTGATTCACCTATCAAGCTACCAAGCCTTCTGCACGACTGCGATAGTATGCCACGCTCGCCGCAGATACAGAGGTAATGACTAGTTATTCAGAGATTGACTTTGCATGTCATACGGCACTTCCTATCTTGGGAGATTGTCGTCATTGGGTATGTGCATGGCAGACAGGACTAACAACATTCGATATCATCACCTGAAATGGCGCCATTCTGCAACGAGATTTACAACTGGCTTCCTATCAAGGGGTGAAACTCAATATCCGCCTAACCCTGGTCGAAAAAGGATCACTGCAAGAGCTACCCCCTTCGTGGCAGGTTGGCGGGTCATCCCCACCCAATGGACAACAAAAAATCACCCAACACAGGAGCTCACATCCAACCTACAGCCGCACCACTCCTCCGTGCACCGCACCACACTAGGCATCAGATCATTTCGTTCGCATCACAGACATCAGGCGCAAATTACCCATATGAAAGTGTCTCGTCACTTGCCCCCCAAACACAACAAATGGAAGCACTCAGTATGAGTAGGAGGTTTGATAGTTCACGGAGCGAGCTCTCCAACAATCGCTTTATTTCTCCTCATTGCGCAACCCAAACAAAAAATAACGCCTGCACACACTCAAGACAACATGTCCCTCTCCTCTGGGGTGTCGAGTCCCAGGGCCCGATTATGCCGCACAAGCGGAGTAAGGGTAAAGATAGGAATTCTAGGTAGGCAACAGGGAAGGAGGAGGTCACCATATCCAACCTCACCGAAGTGAGGAGGTGTGGTGAACTCGGCAGTGTTGCCTCTAAACACACAAACTAGCATACCAGTATACATAAACATCAGAACAAGAAACCCCACACATCCTGCCTCGGGACACTACACGAATGAGACTTGAAGAAAAGGCAATGCCCCCCCACCGATGGGAGCTACACAATATACTGAGCGCCCAAGGAGGACGCCGTCGTCCATGCCAGACCAAAGGGCTTCGAGATTAGGGTTTCGAAGGAACGAGGGAGTCCAACGGTCCTGATGAACGAACAGAGGTTCTCCAGTCGTCTTCCTTGTCGCTTTTACAATGCCACTTCTATACTTGGTCAATCTTGTAAACTCTTCTGTCCAAGGCTGGAACCTCTCAATTTGCAAACCGCTTGGAGTTGTCGCCTATCCCTCCAACTTTAGGTCCTGGCCAGCTAGTTAATTGATCGGCTTTTCACATGTGACTTCAATACTTCATGCATTTGTCATTTTTGTGATGATTGGCAAAATATTCAAAAAAAACTACATCTAGGTGTTTGAACATCCAAAAATCACATCCATGTTTTAGGAATTTGATATAAATTGGTATTGATTTTAGTGTGGAATGAATCAAAATTTATTCTAAGATAAAACCTCCTTGGTTGGATGCACTTATGGAATTGTTTATAATGTTGAATACACATTTACTTCAAAATCTGAGATAGTGAGGTAGTTCTTTGAACATATTAATTGTTGAGATTTTGGCAGATTAATTGTCATCAATGACAGCCAAGCGATGTTATATCAATGTTGTAGATGCCTTCATCAATAATTTATTGATTATACATATGATGACCATTGTTCATTCTCACTTTTAATTTGAGCTTGTATCACGGATATATATATATATATCCTTAATTACTTATATGATTAAGTAAAAGTATATTAACTTTATAATATCTCCTATCAAAGCTTCCTAAAAGCTTCATAGATGTGATTTTGACTTTACACATGTTTGTAGTTGATTGATAGGTTAGAAACTTAATCAACAAGTTATCTACGTGTTACATGTATTGGTAGCTTGTGGAATAAGTTAATCATGGTGCACATATTGAAAACTTTCCTTGCAAGTTAAGATATATGTCTTGCAAAGTCAACATGTATTAGAAGTCTTATAAAACATTGTTGCATAGCTCTTATTTAGATGTTATAAATGGATGCAAGAATGAAGCTTTCTTCACTCTTATCAATGCCTATTTAGTCTTTAGTCTTGTTTCAAGACTTTCTACTCTTCTTGACTTTGGCAATAGCCATTCCAATTCAACATATTACCATCTTTGAGTGACTTTTTAATCTTTTCAAGTGACACAAGATTGTATCAAGTTTTCTTCCTTTGATGTTCATATCCTTAACAATTTGACAAAAGTTTTAATTCATTATTTCTGTTTTGTTCTAGAAATGAGTGGATTATACAACTTTTATTGTTGAATTTTTGAAAGTTATAAACCTTCCATATTTAAACTAATTTATAATTTTCTAATAATATTTTTTTCCTTAAAAAGAGATAATTACTTTTTTTTGTAGAAATTTTTATTTGATATTAAAAGTTGTAGATTATCTTCTTCTAATTTAACTTTTTGAATTTATTTGAGTCATGTATTAAAAAAAAAAAATTATAGATGCTACTCTTGGCGGAAGTAAAAATAGATTTGCAACTATTGTAGATCTTCACAAGCTTGTTAATATTCTTAGAGTAGAAATCTCACATTTTATAATTATGAACTATAATAATCCCTGATACTAGTTGGAAGCTTATACTAACTCACAATAATTTAACTAATTCCTAATTCTATCATTTTATGATTATCTTACAAATAATATTCAACAAATCCTATAACCTTCTTATTATGAGTTAAATAAATTCTTCTAATTCTTGCTTAAGATTCTAAGGCTTTTAGTATTAATTAAATTGTATACTTACATATCTTATAACAATAATATAAGTTATTTGATAATTCATAACTACACATATTAAAAATAATTTCTTTTTTTTATAAATCAATTTTTAATTCATTGATTTTTTTTTCTAATATTAATTTCCATCAAAAATTAAAAATTCATCCAAAGTAATTTTTCATCTACAATAAAGTTTTCATCTAAGAATAACTTTTCATCTATGAATAAAAAGTCATCCAATTTAAAGCACAATTCATTTACAAATTATCATCTATATCTAAACCAAATTCATTCAAATTTTAAAAATCCATCTAAAATAATTCATTCCAAACTCTAATTAAATTGCATCTTAACCTAAGTGAATCCTTAAATGATTCCAATTTAAAGGCCACCATTCATTAAATGATTCTACAACACTCTAATGCCACAAATCGACTTCCTTGAAGGTTAATGGCAACTTGATCCAATCCAGCATCACAATCTCATTGCAGCTTAAATTGCCTTGAATTTCAAACACTAGTATTGAAGTAGATCCTTAGCTCATCAAATCAAAGTCCAATACAAGTAAGATCCAACCAAGCTCCCAACTCTTGTTGACACAATACCAAAAATCTATCTTCCTTTAATATCCACTCCGCCTTGATCATTACAACCAATACAACTTGACATTATTGAACATTACACCAAAGCTTGTGAAGCACTTGAATTGCAGTCAAGATAAGACTAAGAACTCCAATCGATATGTTCAAATTCATGAATTAGAGATCTACTGCTTCTCTGTTAGCTATCCCACCACTTTTATTCATTTCATAATCTTGACATTGACCACATCTGATAATAGTACATGATTATACAAAGTCTTTAATTACCTTCAACATTTGAAGCCATCAAACATTTTTAGATATTAATTCCAAAATGTTTGGCTGTTGGAAAGTTGTGATATGTTGGAAGAATATGTAAACATATTTTGTCTTCTTGAACATATAGGCGACCTTAAAAATACAATGGCTTGTTCTTAAACTCAAACTTAGACATATCATGAGACTCAAAAGAATTATTATTAATATCATAAACAAAAGTATCAAAGGACATATTTGATTGAATTTGCTTGACAAAGGTTGAATCAACAATGAATGTTAATTTTATTACTTGAAGATAAAAATGCCCTAATTTCAAGAAAACCATTCTTTATTAATCAAAACCAACATTTTTTTTTTGGGGTATAAGATAAGAACATTTTAAAAAATCATCTAAAAAACTTAGTTATTTTTTGGATTGAAAAGTAATCTTGAAATTAAATCTTGATAAAGACATATTTCAATAGATTTTGAAACAATTCAAAATATATACCAACATGAAGTATCCTAGATCTTTATGATTTATATATATGGTCATATTATCTGATCTATCTGGACTAGACTATAGGTATCTTTTAGATAATAATGCCATTCTTAAAATGAATCTATGATTGTAAGTAGTTTTTTATCATAGATCTTATAATTAATCTTGGTTGTTAAAAATTTCCTAGAATAAAAAGCTATTGGATAGAGCTTGTTATATATTCCTATTTGTGACAAAATGATACTTATAATAATATTTGATGCGTCTATTTTTATAAAAAATATCTAAAAAAAATCAATGCAATATAATATTGGTACAAAAATAAATATTATTTTTAAGGCTTTAAAAGATATTTTAGCTTCATTGCTCCATTCAAGTTTGACTTTACATATCAAATATACAAGAAGAACCATAATTTGAAAAAAATTCTTAATAAAGATCTTATAATAATTGACAAATTTCAAAAAATATT